ACTTGTTGCGCGGGGCGCGCATGCGGGGCGGGCTGCCCGCGCCCCTCCCCGGCGCGGCCGCAGCTGGAGCGCGGCGGGGCGCGGGCTGCCCGCGCTGCCGGCTATGTTTGGAAACTTGAACGCCAGATCGCGCCCTCACCCTCCTCCTCGGCCGCGCCGCCGGCCCCCCGCCGCGGCACCGCGGCCAGGGCGCGCATGCACAGTGGTGGTGATGGAGGGTGGTGGTGGTGGTGGTTTTTTTTGTTGGGCTTTTTTTTTTCCCTTCCCCCGCCCCCCCCCCCCCCCTCCCCGGCCCGACTGCGCTTTCTAAGTTCAGATGCCTCGCTTTCGGGATTTTGTAAACCCGCGAATCGCCCCGCTTTGCTTCCGTGGCGGCTGCGCGGCGTCCTGCCACCGCGGCTGTCGGTGGGATTCCCGTGCGCTCCGGCTGCTGAGGCAAATGAGGGGATCCCGCCTTAATATCCGATTTCGTGTTTCTCTTTCAGTGATCCTGGTGACAGAATGACACAGTTTTTGTAAGCCCGTGACTGCATCAGAAGCTCTTCCACTTTTGATTTGTTTAAATCAGCCATATTTGCCAAGTGTTTAAGGTTGGGCTGGGAAAGCTAGTGCTGTACGTTGCTCAAGGGTGTAGGAGAGGCCAAGCAGGTGAGTAATTGCTGTGATCTCATCTCGCTAATGCAAAGGGACATAGGATTTCCCCGGCGCTGTGAGAATACACGGTCGGTTTTTTTTCTTCTATTTCCCCCTTTAAATAGCTAGCTAACATTTGCATAACGCTGTTAACAGGCAAATCACTCAAAACAACTTCGACTCAGGCAAATAAGCTGAGATTTCATTTCATTGGGAGGAAAACAAAATAAAAAACCCCGAAGCCTGCCTTCTTCCGCCCGCGATCCCCTAAGTTGCCCGCTCCCCGCCCGGCCCCGCGGCCACGCCGGTGCCCGCGGTGGCCAGGAGGGGCTCTGCACAGCCCGCTTTTGCTCTCGCTGCAGTCGGCGGCTGTTTTTGCAAACATCGGCATCGCTGCTCGCGTCCAAAGAATAATAAACTCTCACTGCGGGGCGCGGTTCGGCCGGGACCCGGTGCGCTGCGCGGCGGGCGGTCACCGGCCCCGCGTCGCCGGCGCGCAGCCGGCACAGTGTGCCCGCTGAGGGGCGGGGGAGCGCCGAGCCTCTCCCAGCTGGGATGTGGTGGATGGGTTTCTTTCTCTCAGTACCTCTTCCTGATTCCTTTGTTGCTAGAAACGCCGAAAACCCCGTCCATTACAGGTTTCCCTCTGTGCTTTAAAGGGACTCGCGGTTTCTGTGGCGCGGTGCCACAACTCCCTTACATACGCACGCCCAGCAGCCATGCAGCACCGAGCAGGAAAGATACTTTCTATTCGGTTAATAACGTTTCAGAACTCACACAAGAAAAAAACCGTTGTTTTAAATATTTCGGTTCGCATCGCCAATACATCTCATTTCCATTTTTAGTTATCTAAAACATTTTATATGTGTCTGGTTATAATCTATAAAGCTGGCAAACGAATTTGATATGTACATGAGTAGAATTAGTTTACAAGGAAGGCTTAATGAAATGCACACGCTGAAGTTACAGAAATGGTTGGATGAAATAAAATACAGTTAGAAAATCAGTTCTGACAAAGTGACTCTTTTTCAGGGGAAGCTTGTAGAAGCAGGGAACAGAGATAGAAAAGTCTTTGAATTATGTGAGTCTCCTATATGCAGATTGGCTGAAGAAGATGCGCTAAAGGAGAGTGGGTTTCACACTTAAAAATTTCACACCTAAACTGTGGACATTATAGAGGCTTCACAGAAGTATGGCACATGAAAGCTGGTCAAAGTAAAAGTCTTTGCTTCCAGCCACAGTGATTTAGTAATGGCTGCAGGATTTCTATGTTAATATGTCTTTACTTGATTAAACAAGCATGTGTTCTCTCTGATTCATACTGGCAGGTCAACTTGTTTCCTATCCTTTTACTGTCCTGTATTGATCTTCATATGAAGAGCAGAACTGGGCTGTGGGAAAAGGTCAGCCCCTGCTTTAAAAACTCAGGTTGAGAGAGCTGAAGCTTTCCCTTCATCCCGTGTGTCTGGGAATGCAGAACTGCAGCATATCCCAGCTGTTTCAGTCCCTGGGTTATACAAACCCGAGACATGACAAGGCACTCCATGTGAGCATGAACCGCCCCTCACCCTGTCTCCTCGCTCCACTGAATCCTCCTGCAAGAAAGCCCTTTTTTGGTAACACTCACCTCACAGGAACAGACTTCTTGGCTCACAAGAGCAGTCTCTATAGTGGGTGTAAATAATAATCACCTTAGATATAATCTAGCCTCAGAAAACCATTTACAGGTGCTGTCAACTCCCTTTATAGTTTGTGAACAGAAAAAGAGGACAGATTAACATCTGTGACCCAACTAAACTGCTTTTACTCTTACTTGCAGGATACACAGTTGCGGAAATATGTTTGTCTTTCCGTAATGATTAAACTTTGATTTAAACTTTGGTCATGGGCACGTACTGTACCATTACGCAAGCAGCACTTAAGGATGAAGTGTCAGCATAGCAACAATATGGCCAGCAGCAGCAGTGATCTCTGCAAAGCTGATTGATGAAGAGAACTGCAATGTAGATGCAAATAAATGCCACATCGTGGCACCTTCACAGGGAACGAGTTGTCAGTATCAATCTAATCTGGTAAGGAAAAATACATTGAACAGTGTCAATGTAACAAAGCTCCCATCTATGGCAGCGTTGTCCCTGCAAGGGTAGCAGCATGCTTTCCTGCTCACCTTCTGCCTTTCCTCTTTGCCATGCAAGTGGCGGGGCAGGAGTGATCCAGATCGCTCTTGATGGATTTATACTAAACACGTCTGGTGTTTATTTAGCTCTGAAATAATCCAGGAATTAATATTAGGTTTGGAGGAGGCAAAGAGGAAGCCCAAACAATGAAACCATTCAGGTGTCTAATCTGGCTAACTGAAAGAAAGAAGTGAGCAAACAAAAAATAGCGTAAGAACCCCCCAAACAGTAGCTTGTTTAATGAGATGGAGGGGAGCGCAAGGAGGCATGGAGCTGCAGCCGTGAACAATTGCTACCCAGTCACTGCTTTTTGTGCAGGAGCGCAAGTCAGCTCTGTGGATGCAGCATTAGGGATTCTGTGGAGATTACCCAAAGTTTACAACCTGCCAGTAGTCCCAAGAGAGAAGGAATATAATTTTAACCATCAGAAGTTAAATCTACTAAGTTCTTCCTTGCAGTCCTAGGATAAATACTGCCATCCAATAATCCCTTTCTATTTATTCCTACTACCGTCTTTATTTGGAAGTACGCACATGCACATACAAGTCTGTGTAATATTAAAACAGCAGGTGAAGCTTTGATTTAAACGAAGGAATCAAAATGAACATACAAAACACAGCATGCAGGAGCCGGCCAGCACCTTTCCCAGTGCTACCAGCAGGTATGGGAAGCAGAGGGTGCAACACACCAAGAAGGACAAAGTGACAAAACCCAGGTGCCTGGCTGCACCCCAGGCTCTACTCCGTGCCATTCCCAGGCATAAGGTCCCAAAACATGTTGATCTGGATGGGAGAGGAGTACTGTGGATTATCGATCATCAGTCCAGTGTTAATTATGCAGAATATAGGACAGCCCCAAAATTTGCGAGCAGTAATAATTAGGAGCCTATGATGTCAGCAGCTTGGGAATGAATGGTCTGGTCTGACTCTAAATGCTCATAGCCTGGGAATACGTTTAACTCTTTCCTGCTCGCTTTACAAAGTTTTGGCACTGATCACTGCAGCAGTCCCAATAGTTGGTTCTTCTGCAGGCACTCACCTACAGGAATTGCTCTTTCCTTACTGGTCAGAACAGTGGCTACAGCTGGAAAAAAATGGAAGAATGAGAAGGGAAGCACACTCTTGAGAGTGTGATTTACATGGATTTACCTCAGAATAGCAAATAAAATAAAATCCATCACAATCAAATGACTGGCTTCAAAACAATGCAGAGATTAGCAGTGAACAGAGCACTCCGTGGTAAAGGGAGTGTGTTCAGCAAATCAAAACACAAACACTTCAGGAAGAAGTTGCATAATTTTGTCAAATTAAAAGTTAAACAACATTGTCTTCTACTAGGAGCTGCCAGGAAGTGTCAAAACACTCAGTTGCAAAGAATAGGAGTGTAATTACATGTTTCTGTTTATCGTTTCAGTTCTCATCTCATTATAATTCTGATTTTTTCCTACCATTCTTCAGGTAGTGAGCCTTGCTGACACACATAGCTTATTGCTTTCCCACCTAGGAACTCTCTTCTTTCCTTCCTTCCTTCCTTCCTTCCTTCCTTCCTTCCTTTGCAGACACATTTCTTAGCGGGTGTTACCTGTCATTTCCTCCGCTTTTAATGGTCCCATTTCCACATTGGTGCTGGAACATGGAGCCGAGGGCAGCTCTCCTGTCCCCCTGAAACACCAGCCTCTTGCTTCTGCCCTACAAAGCAGTGAGTGGTCCCTCGTTGAGACCCACACCACACTGATTTTCCTACAGCTGTCTTTGAGGTTTGAAAACCTGCCTGGGAGCCTAGATTTCTGTACATTAACCTTTGCCAAATCTTACAGAGCAAAATAAGACACCTATAATTAATTCTGCTCACTCCACAAAGGACTAGAGACTGGGCAGCATGTTTTAGGCTGGGATATGTAGAGGCTTGGTCTTCCGCTGTTGTTATTTTTACTTTTTCCCTGGCCTGTTTTCATCTTACATCCTGTGGATGTAGTAAACAATCAACAACAATGAATCAACTGAATTGGTACATTTTTTAATGCTATTCCCACTGAGAGCCACTTGCACTTTTGTGACAGTTAAGAATCTGCCAAACATTAGCTTAGTTACCAGCAAGACAGGCTCCTCCCTCCCTTCACCCCATACACAGATTGTTTATCAAAACGTGCTGCCAAGAAAAATATCCCTGCTTTTGGCCTCCACCAGTGATTAATAACACTTGAGAACTGAACAAAACTTTGCTGTGTTTTCCAAAATATGAGGGAGGTGGGAAAAGGG